CTCTGACCGCTTCGGCCGGGCCGAGGCGAATCTTCACGGAAACTGTATAGTAATAGTTGCTTATGGATGGCCCTTCTGACCTTAAATGGTTCATGAGCGCACAGAAGACGAGTCTGCATAATCAATCTGATCCCCAGACCATGCAGCGCTTCCGACTGCAGCGCCTGGCCGCAGCGGTGCGGCACCAGGCCACGAAGAGCGGCACGTGGCTGGAGGTGCCTCGGCGAGCGGTGCATGCAAAGGAAGCCTGACGCCGGTTCTGGATGAACAACACATTGCCATCAGTATTTCTTTGTCGGCGTTCCAGCAAGATTAGCATTTGAATGAAAAGGGCAGGTGCAGGACAGCTGTTGTTGACTGTCTTGGCAGTTCTGGTAAGGCACAGATACCGGATGCGATTTCGTGTTAAGGCACTGGGATGCTGCACAATTGGGTGGGGGTTTTTGGATCTGCCCACAGTGACTTCTTACTCCTTTTTTGCTTTCGTGCCCGTAGGTCTCATCCAGCCTCATCCACCCCGTTTGCCGTTTGCCAGGGTGAGCTGAACTTGGACACCAACATGGTTCACGCCACTTGTCTTTCAGCCGGTTCAAGGGACCACTCCTGAGAAGCACTCCGAAGCAGAGCGTTCCTGCAAAAGCAGTCGGGGGCCCTGCAGGGGCTGGAGTGCTGCATTGTCAGCGCGTCGTCAGCCCCACACGTAGAAACACAGAGCCGGCACTGAGCGAAAGCGCTCAAGGCCGGACATCCTTGCTCAGCAAGCTCCTCAGCACTGTAGTCAGCCGGGCGCCGCACATGAAACTTCGTCAGCCCGAAACCACAAACCAAAAGCCAGAAAGCGCGAAGCCGAAAAAACTCCTCGGCTCGGGCCCGGGCCTTGAAGCCCTCGGCTCCCAGCCCTACAGGCCCCGAACATGGTCCTAGTTCGTCAGAAGCTTCAGCCGTGGCATGTTGCCAAAATCACAGCGCTCAGACCCATCGTAATGCCATCGCATCTCGATGCTTACCCGCAACCCTTGCCATGTCCAAGGCCGCAGTGACCCCGGAACCAAAGAGCGGTGCCGTGACAAGGGCATGAAGAGAGTTTTGTCTAGGTAAGTTCGGAGGTTTGGGATGGCATGTTGAGGCAGCTGTAGCCGGGTTGTAAATTGAAGTTTCCTGCTTCAAGGGCAGGGTAGTTACAGGTTCTAGTGTGTTTTCTCTAGCACTCCCCCTATCTTGAGCCGTCCTTGGTGCTCTAAAGTCTCTAAAGCATGTCCGCAGCTAGGGCCTCCATGGAGCTTCTGCATGTCCTCGTCATGCTTGTTTGTGAGTGCTACCATAATGAGTTTCCACGGTGGAACATTCAGGTCAGTGTGTGACTGTGTCCGATGTTTACAGGTGCAAGAGCTGTTGGAGGGCTTTGCTTTCATCACACGCCGCCTAAGTACCTCCGACCTTCCTGCGCAGACATGTAAGAATCCGGGGTCGTCTTTGGTACGACACCCTGCGACATTCTCGTTTTCTCCAGGTGCCATCCTCACCCCCCTCTTCCTGTCCACCACCTTCATCCAGGACCATCGACTCGAGAGTGCGTTTTGCGCGGCGTACAGTTTAGGGCTTAGTAGGGTAGTCAATGTTTACATGGTGGTTCGAATGCCCACTCAGGATCCATCTCATGACCAGTGGATCGCAGATGTTTTCGGTAAGTGTACGGCAGGTGTTTTGCTGAGTGCTAAATGGAACTCAGAAAGCTTCAAAAGTCTACTCTTCTCATAACGTCGCCTTGGGGCTCACATCGGCTCACATCGAACAGCCTCAAAAAGCGGTGATCAGGAGTCCGTTGAGAAATACCTGGACAAGGCCGCGTGGGGATCCCGAAGGGGTTTTTAGTCAGAGGGGGTCACCAAGTAGGGTTTAGGGTTTCGGGTCTAGCGTTTTGGGTTTAGGGTTTCGGGCTTTGGGTTTAGGGTCTTGGGCTCTTTTTGCACCTTTTTTGCGAAAGACTGCTCATTCAAGTTCCGGCCCGTCTCCGTCTCCCCCTGAGCACCAGGGCTACAGCTACTCCCGCACCAACAACCCCACCGTGACGGCACTGGAAGAGAAGCTGGCCAAAGTGGAGAACGGGCCGCCGGGCTGTGTCGAATTCGACTCTTCTTGATCCTGTGAAGCCCTAAACCCCTAAGAGCCCTAAGAGCCCGATCCTCCAGCTTCTTTTGGCAGCTCTGATGATGACACGCATACAGGGGTACACCGTGGGCCCTAAGCCCAAGAGCACTGGCTCTTGAGCCCCCCTCCGATCTGCCAAAGGGGCATGGCACTCAAACGAAGATGGTTGAGGGTTTCGGGGTTTAGGTGCCTTAGGGTTCAGTCCAAGCCTATGCAAGGTTCGGTTCCTCGGCATTCGGCACCGGCATGGCCGCCACCACCAGTGCCATCTCTGCGACCATGCAGTGCCTTGTCTGGGATAGTGATGGTGTTCTGGAGTCCCAAACGCCCGTCCCATGTCGATGCTCGACAGAACTCTTCAGGGGTGTAGCAGACTCGAGTTTTACAATGGTTTCTCTTCGAGCCCTTCTTGGCCCAGGCCGGGTAACTCCGGGCACCTCCAGGGACATCTCCCCTCACCTTCTCTTGTAGCGCGTCCCTTGTGAAGCAATTCTACCAGAAACCGTCACTCGCTAACCTCTTCAGTGTTTGCAAAAGGTGGCGGTCCCAAGAGTTTTGGGGACCAAGGCTCAGTCACAGTCTTCTTTTTTTTGGGGATTGCCAGCGTGACCTGGGTCTTCCCATGGAACTGACTAGGAGCACTCTCTGGGCGTATTGACAGTGAGCCCGCCAGCACGCTTCCACGGCCCCATTCAGACCTTCGTGTGCTTGTGCAGGGCGGGTGATCACTGTGTGTCCTGGCTGCATGGTGAATGTCCGTGTGTGTGTGTGCACTTCTCTAGC